AAGTGTATGCCAGCGGAAGATGCATTTCCTGCTCTCAAGGCCACTTTGTGTGAACAGCTCAACCCAACGCAAACTGATGCCTTACTAGCGTTATTAATGAAGCACAAAGCTTGCTTTGACGTTTGTTCCGAAGGTCTGGGTCAAGCAACAGTGACCACCCATCGTATCGACACCGACGGATCCCGTGTGATTTGCCGCCGCCCTTACCGTGTGTCGGCTTCTGAACGCAAGCTTACAGAAGAACAAGTCAACGACATGCTCGCGCGCAACGTCATCTGGCCTTCGACAAGCGCATGGTCTTCTCCTATCGTACTAGTGAAAAAAAAAGGATGGCTCGGTACGGTTTTGCATTGATTACAGATCACTCAACAAAATCACTCGTAAGGACGTCTACCCAATGCCTCGCATTGACGACGCTCTTGATACTTTACAAGGTGCCGAGTACTTTTCAAGTCTCGACTTGCGCTCCGGTTATTGGCAGATTCCAATGCACGAGTCTGATAAAGAGAAGACTGCGTTTGCTACGCCAGATGGACTCTTTGAGTTCAATGTAATGCCTTTCGGCCTGTGCAATGCCCCAGCCACATTCGAACGGATGATAGACACGGTACTGCGGGGATTAAAATGGAAGACCTGCCTTTGCTACCTGGACGGCATTGTCATTTTTTCGTCGAGCTTCTCACAGCACCTGGAACGGCTAGACGAAGTCCTCACGTGTTTAGCTAAGGCCGGTCTCCAGCTCAACACTAAGAGGTGTCGGTTTGCCAGTCACAGCATCAAGGTATTAGGTCACGTCGTCAGTAAACATGGCGTTGAGCCCGATCCCGACAAGGTTTGCCGCGGTACTGCACTTTCCTACACCAACCACACAGAAAGACCTCCACAGCTTCCTTGGCTTAGCGTCGTATTTCCGCCGCTTTGTACGTAATTTCGCTACTATTGCGGCTCCTCTGCACAAACTTCTGACCACGAGCGCACCTTTGTCTGGTCGGATGACTGCGAAGCCGCTTTTCACACCCTCAAGCGATGCCTCACATCACGGCCAGTGCTTCGCCATTTCGACCCTGCAGCACCTACTGTGCTACACACTGACGCAAGTGGACTTGGCATCGGTGCTGTCCATCTTCAGCGGAACCACGCTTCCGAAGAACAAGTCGTGGCCTACGCGAGCCGTACTCTGTCACCTGCTGAGCGAAACTACAGCATCACTGAGCAAGAATGTCCCGCCATCCTGTGGTCCATACAAAAGTTTCGTCCTTACTTATACGGCCGGCATTTCACAATAGTGACTGACCATCATGCTCTGTGTTGGTTATCGTCTCTCAAAAATTTGTCGGGACGCCTTGGCCGTTGGGTACTACGATTGCAAGAGTATGACTACAGCGTCACATATAGGTCGGGCCGAGAGCACCAAGATGCCGACGCTTTGTCTCGTTGCCCGCTCTCGCAAAGCGCCGAAGTGTCACCTTCCATCTGTTCGTCACCGCCTGCCAAAGTGACCAAACAGACGGCTGCTGCTTTGAAACAGTTAGTTGCCTCGGCGGACCTTCTTTCGTCCACAGATCTCGCCTCGCTCCAACACGCCGTTACCTACTGCCGCACAATCATCGATCGGCTCACTGGCTTATCGCGTGCTCCAAACAGCCGCCTAAGACGACAACTTGCCCGTTTCAAGCTTCTAGAGGGAACATTATGTCGGCAAATTTACCATCCTCTCGGTAACCAATGGGTTTCCGTCATTCCTCGCTCACTTCGTCTGGAAGTTCTACAAGCGTTTCATGACGATGCGACAGCTGGCCCCTTAGGGTTCCACAAGACCTACGACCGCCGCAGGACTCGCTGCTTTTGGCCTGGCCTCTCCACTTCTGTCGCCAAGTACGTCGCTTCCTGCGCGTCATGCCAGCACCGAAAACGTACCACGTCTCTTCCCGCGGGGCCATTGCAACCACTGCCGTGCCCGTCCACTCCCTTTGAATTTGGCCCCGCCGCGGTGGTCTAGTGGCTAAGGTACTCGGCTGCTGACCCGCAGGTCGCGGGTTTGATTCCCGGCTGCGGCGGCTGCATTTCCGATGGAGGCGGAAATGTTGTAGGCCCGTGTACTCAGATTTGGGTGCACGTTAAAGAACCCCAGGTGGTCGAAATTTCTGGAGCCCTTTACTACGGCGTCTCTCATAATCAAATGGTGGTTTTGGGACGTTAAACCCCACAAATCAATCCCTTTGAATTTGTGGGCATAGACTTATACGGACCTCTTCCGCTTACGCCAGCCGGTCACCGTTGGATTGTTACTGCCGTAGACCACCTTACTCGCTACGCGGAGACAGCAGCTCTTTCATCTGGTGCTACCTCTGAAGTAGCCGATTTTTTCCTTCGCGCCATTATTTTACGACATGGCGCACCGCGTGTGCTCCTTAGTGACCGTGGCAAGACATTTCTTTCACATGTCCTTGCTGAAGTCTTACAGGCCTCTAACACCATTCACAAGACCACAACAGCGTATCACCCAGAAACTGATGGTCTGACTGAGCGTTTTCACCGAACTTTGTCCGACATGATCTCTATGTACGTGTAACCAGATCACAAAAACTGGGACACAATACTTCCTTTTGTCACGTTCGCATATAACACTGCCATACAGCGTACAACGAATTTCAGCCCTTTTTTTCTCGTGTATGGCCGTGTACCGACTTTTGTTCTGGACACCACCTTTTTGTCCACATCTTCCAATCCATCTTCATCTCTCCCGGAAGAGTTCGCCGCTCGCGTCGCCCGCTGCCGTGAAATCGCCCGTGCCAACACTGCTACCATTCAGGACAAGAGAAAAAACGACCTTGATGCGAAGCGTCGAGTTGTTGTGTTCCGCCCAGGCGACGAAGTCCTTTTGTGGACACCTGTTCGTGTACCTGGGCTCTGCGAAAAATTCTTTCACCGGTATCTCGGTCCATACACCGTCCTGGAACGAACACCTGAAGTCAACTATCTCCTGTCAACACGGCTTCTGATCGTCGTCGCCGCCACACCGAGATCGCCCACGTCTCTCGACTGAAACGATATATTCGGCGTCCCAACCCTTTCTAACTTGCTGCCCTCTTTCGCGAAGGGGGGAAAATAGTGTGAGCGCTGACTATGTACTTCATCTTCATCTGTATGACCAAACCATTGTAGTGATCATCATCGTATGTCACGTGGGCTGGCTCTCTGGTTCGTGCGTCTGGATTAAAAAAGGATAACCTGGTTGCTGCCGTACCGGACGTGGTCTCATAATATATATATATATATATATATATATATATATATATATATATATATGGGCTTGGGTGAAGAAGGAAGGAAGAACATTCTGACAGCATCGTGTTATTCCACCCATTTCATGCTTCCATGCGAATCAGTCAGCAGCCTATTCCGCGTTTCTCGGCTTTGAGCCAAGACTTTTAAAAATGGCTCAGCGTCTTGGTGCAAATCGTGCAGCTGCGTTCATATCGTGCCAGGTAAGAGGCAGATTGGCCACTACGGCATGTGAGCAACATAGCTTACATGGTCCGATGTAACGCCGACACTCTCGACTCAGCGAGTCGTGAATGCGTTCTAGTAGCTATGTACGTGTTCATTTTTCACGTATCGCATCGCGTCACAACGTCACCTCGCTATACTCGGTAATCACGAGTGTCAGGGCGTGTCTCATAGTTTTCAATCGGCTTGCTTTGCATCTTCAAAGCAAGATTTGGTACATAGCAGTGATTTTCAGGCACGGATGACTCGGGGACTCCTTGTGGACTGTTAGAAGTGTTGAGAGACGACTCTCTGTGCAAGGGTAAAGTAGCACGTAATATCATAAAATTAACAAAACATGTAGAATGATATTGGTGGCCTTGTTGCTCCTTGGCAAAGATGGTCAAACTAAAGTGTCTCGCCAATTTTATTTGAACAGCTTGTCAAGAAGTGCGGTTTGGAGCCACATTTAATCTCTTTCTAGTCATGCTTGCTTTTCAAGAATGCTAGTCAGATGAAAATATATGTCGTAGAAAACTTCTCCAAAATCATTACAGCCATCCGACATGGGAACACAGAAGTCAGCTCCGCCGCTGTGAAGAATGTCTTGCACTAAAACAGGCCAAAATTGAGAAGGGGTCGTTGTTCCATGAATAGTAAGCATTCAAAACACACTTTTTTTAGATGCGGAGCATCTTATACTCGCGCCTTGTAGTGCGCCGTCCGCGCCGTCCGCGCCGTCCGCACCGCTTCTCGAACATTCGACAGCTGACGCGCGCGCATGCGCCGTCGCGCCGTCGCCCACTCTTCCACCATCTGTGCATCCCTTCCTCCTCTACACACCGCGCGCGCTTCACTCCTCCACCATCTGTGCACCCTTCCTCCTCTACACACCGCGTTCGACATCTACAATTCTCCTGATTCTCCAGTGGACGCGCATGTGGCGTCGCGCTTCGAGAACATTCAACAGCTGACAGTGCATGCGCCGTCGTGCTGTATATATACTCAAGGTCGGCGCTCGCTCGCTCAGTTGCCGCTCGTCGGTTGGTTTGTACGGCGCGTCGACGTCCAAGGTCGCGGTGAAATGAATTCCAACGAATCCACAAACACAATGATCGACGTCCCTTCGACCAGCGCCGCCCTTTCACATACGTGTGTACGTGTTCACTCATTTAACACCCCCTCCTACAACCACGTTAACCAATTTAGCCATCGACCCAAGTAAGTCGCAATTTAACACCCCATTTCACAACCACGTTAACCAATTTAGCCATCGACCCAAGTAAGTCGCACTTTAACACCCCGTTAACCAATTATATGGTCCGCATCCTCCTCAGTGTTCCCCCGAGGGAAGCTGCGGGCAATTTTTTTCCCCCGAGGATAGTTTTCGCAGTCTCCCTGAGGTTTAGAAAACGCGATTTGAAAACCACTACAGTATAAACAGAAAGTATGCAACCGCGGCACATTCCCGTAAACTAGAGTCTTTCTCGTGCGAAATGACGCAAGCCAGGTAAACGTAAAAAGAAACACAGTTTTATTGATGCGGATGAGATTCAAATGCCAGCATGGTATGTGACTGCTGCTTTTTTTTTCTTTCTTTCATCTTCCTTATGTACAAATAATGTCGGCGTAGACGGGAGTAGAGGTAAATCTATTCATGACGTCTAACAGCATGACTAGCACAACTTGACCAGTTCGGCTATCACAAGAATGAAATGAACAGAGAAGCGCGAGAGTGGCGGCGGAAGTGTCCGCTCGACCCGCTCGGGTCGGCACCTTTTGAAGCACTCATTTCCGGTGCACGACAAGTACAAAACATTCGACCTTCGGAGAGGGAGAAGGTAGGTGCCAAGTCTCTTCGGTTGTAATTAAGTCGTTTGTGCTTTGCGCTCGTGTGCGCATATAATGTGTGCGCACGCACAATGGCTTACGGCGTACATGAGTTGCGTAGGGCAGTATACGCGTATTCTCTCCCCCCCCCAAAAAAAAATTAAATAAAACGGTAATATTCGTACTTTCTCATTACTTGGGGCTCGATATTAGTGGGGTACAGTACTACGCCAGAAATAACGTTCATTGTTTGTTTTTGGTCAGCGAGTGTCAGCTCTACCCTCTGGAATGCAATCCGTAGAAGTGTACAATCGGCCACAAAAGTTCGCGGCACACGAACATCGAGAAAAATATGAATGTCTGTTATACTAATCAAGCCTGATGTTTCTATGTAATCCATCGCATGGGTCTGCAAGTCATAGAATTAAAAATTAAAGCTTTTGGGCATCCGTGCCTCGAAAACGTTTGGGGCGGCTGTGCTCTGAGAATATGTGTTCCCATGAGCGAAAGTGAGCGCAGTAATTATATTCAGACGTACAAACGTAAAAAAATTAAGCTTACACGGCACCACAGCACGAGGATCCGTGACAACTCGACACGTTTACAGCACCAAAATAATGTCAAAGCGGACAAGATAGCAATAAATGATAGTGGAGGCTGCCCGATACGAGGCAATAAGACATGTGCGCAGCTCTGCAAAAATTCTATCCAGTTTCACAGCTCTAGTGTGCTGTATCCATAATCCATATCAACGCCCACCTAAATCACACTGGCAGCTTCGTTTTCACCTAAAGCTGAATCAGAGCGAACCACGGCGCAGTACGAAAAGCTGCAAATGGCTGGTGAATACTTTTTCCTCGCGCAATAGAAAAAAATGCGACGGCATGGTGAGCGTTACGGAAGACAGCATATCAGCATAATTATCCACACACACACAAGGCAAATGGGACAGCTTATGCGCCGTAACAAGACTCTGCGCAAAAAAAAAAAAAACGTGACCCTACTTTTTAGGCGTATTATAAGACCAGCGTTTAATGTGTTAATCCAACCTGTTCCGTCCTGCGCCAACCAAGGCTTTTTTCGTAATTTTCAATGGTCAAGTATAACCTTCCCATGGGATCTCTCTTAAGTTAGGTTACTCCTATGTTGAAGATGTCCGCACAAGTTGTCAAGACATCTTTTTGTGTCCTTTCTACAACTCGTTGCTTGAAACAGACCAGACAACTTTAAACCAGAAAAGAAATTTGAGCATTGAGCTCTTTGGGGCTTTGTTGTCAACAAATGAATGTTACTAATTTTTTATGAAATAAAGTGGTTCACTATCACCCGCTAGTATTACGCACAGCGTAGAACTTCCCGTTTCAACAACTTCATCGTTACACGGCTTCCATCTTCACCTGTTCATAACGTTCGCTTTTTGCGCAAACATCGTTCACTTTTTTTAAATATGCGTATTATTTTTAGGTCCAATACAAGCACTTGTCGCGCTGTTTTTGACCTCAAAAAACTGCAGGTCTCATGACACTATAGCCTACGATAACAGCACAATAGGTCTGCGTATAGCAAGAACAAAAAACTAAATTTTTAAGCGTTCAGAGATTCTTGTCCTTGTTCACCTATTGCTCGTGGCGCATACTCACTGTGGGGGATTGACCAAGAATTGAGTGGTTTTAAAAATTAATGTGTACTTTTAGGATAATGGAGTTATATTATAGAAATATGACAGATAACCTAAGAAATTGTGGTGCTTGATCTAATGCATATAATTATTTAAAAATAAAAGAATTTATTCCTAAGTTGGAGCAATTTTGTTGAGCTTACCTCTTATTTGTCAACCGCATTAACTAACCTGTTCACGAAACGTCGTTTTTTTTATTCGCTGATCTCGCGAGTGTAAAAAAAGAAAAATTGTTCGAAAACACCAACAGATGCAGCTACGAGATCTTGCCCATTGACGATAATTTTACGCGGAGTTTTTGCGTGATAAATTGAGAACATAAATAATGCGTGAAGTCTTAAATAATGGCTTCTACTTATTATGAAATCAATAGATCTATTCATTGCAAGATCACTGCATCTAACGTACGGGCCAGCTAAAATCAATTTTTCAGAAGGCAGCATTCGAACATTTTTTTTTTTCGAAAATAGCGAATCTTACTTGATAAACATCACTCAATGCAATACAAGTGTGAGGGAAAATTATGCACGCCTGAGCAGATCATTAGTGCTATGTCCTGAGGTATAGCGTACATATTGTTAAGTTGGTATGGTAGCTGAAACAAATACATTAAAGCTTTCTATGTTACGTCAACCTATAAGCACGAGAACGCACAACGCCTGAAACGCAGCAAGGAGTCATTAGACTGTGGTGAAGTAGTCATAATGACAGAATAACTCATAATTACATGATAACTCCAACATGACAGGGTCATCATGACTCCGCCGCCAATGAAAAGACGTGGCACAATCTTTCACTTGCTGCGCTCCTGATCACAGTAAATTAATCTGTCTCGCACCAGCAGACCACGTGGGTTCGGCAAGGGGAGCAAGTTTTGGAGGTAAAATAAAGCTACCTAGAAGCACCGCATGACGTTAACGATGGCGGGAAAGGGAAAAAATATAAAGATGAAAAGAACACGACATCCATTTCAACGCGCACATTCTTGTTTTGTGTGTAGAACACATACGAAGAACTTAATCCCACAAAGATCGCACGGCACGCGGACACGAACTTGTACAGACGGTGTTGTTTCTTACAGACAGAGTACACCTACGCTCACATAACGACGATAAAGAATAAATGCAAGAGCGACCCATCTACATCACTTGCAGCCCTGCAGCGACGAAAATAAGATGTTACGCACGACCCTTAGTTGTAGTCATTGTGTAGTGTCATTAATGCCAGTGAGACATTTCTCTCCGTGTGTACAGACCGTCCACGTAGAGAGGCCATTAGACGATGTCCATTAAGACTAGAACTTCCGGCATTATCTCCGGCACCTGGCTGGCATTTTGCTAGCCGTGCACGCGCCTCGAAAACAGCCTCGCTTATGCAACACCACCCATTGACAACACTAGGGAGCTGTGTGTACTCTGGAACACATTCTATCTTCGAATCCCGAGGTCATACCGATGACGCTTGTACAATTCAAACTATATACTGTTGATGCACCACTAACAATTCCAATTCCTAACTGTGAAAATAAGAAAGAAAAAAACTGATGTTAGCACATAAGATGAAGAAAACTATGTCGTGTGCGTTTTCTATCTGGACTACATGGTGTGTGTACGTTGCTTCACGAAAACAGTACGCGATGTTCTTTCGTGAAGGTTGTGTGCGGTGGGTTGCTCGTTGCTCATGCGCGACTTTGCCGTTAGGAGCGAGCGCTTCGTACGACGCGACTACGGCACATTGAGGGTTTACGGCGACACGTCAAACTGCGTTGCAGCAAAATAAATTAACGATGATTCTATGTGCCTTTATAGCACGCTTTTTCGTAAAACAAAGAAGCCATAAAGAAATGAAAAATATGTAAAAACAGGAATGAAGGGCTGCGTCACATATCGGGACACGTATACTTTGCTCCCAGCTTGCCATTAAGTAGAATTTACGACCGTGAATATCAGACGATTCGTGTGGGGTGATCTGTAGATAACGTCTCAATGCGGGAAATTGCACTGGTTGCAAAAAAAAAAAAAAAAACGTCTTGGCGCTGTGTAATCTGTTACAGGGGTGTACGATGTTAGACAGGTCCAGTAATGGTATACACTGTGATGACCACGTGCTGATTTTTCAGCTATCACCAAACGAAACTTGTGACTTGTATCTGGGTGTCGGGACACTCGAAATGTTGCACTACTCGATTAATATTGTTAACACGCGGCACAACGTATATTCAATTCTCCGCTGCACCGCGCACTTCAATGTTATCCACCTAAAGACACGTAGAAAAGATTACAACCTTCCAGATAGGTTCATAATGAAATCTTTCTGCCTCCCCAATAATAAAATTCACTATTGCAGTACATCATAGAAAACTTGGGATTTAAAATTGGTGCTCGAAAGCGTAACACATTAGGAGATGTCAGTTACGGGACCATCTAGGCCAAACGTTCAGCCTGAGCCGAAGGTATCGAAGTAACCGAAGGTGTGAAAAAAATTTCCTTCATACCAAACTCTCTAAGTAGCGAGAGTTGTAAGGCTCCTCACGTCTGACACGCACAACGTCGCTCTGGACATTGTGATCCCCGAGCTAGTAACCTTGTTTACGGAATGGCTCCGACGCTTTTGACAAAGTGCGCTGGCACGAGACGCTAGTAATAGTTCTATGGCGTTACATATTATGCTTATGCTCTCAGCGGAAGTAAAATCGGGCAGCCAACGAAGCACGGAATGTTGAAGAAGCGTCCACATAAACACAACACACATCCACAAGACTCAGTTGGTTGTGGCCGCACGTAGCAGCAGCCTACATGCGGAGTCACACTTGGAATTCGAAAAATCACGGCGAAAAATCACGGCTTCTCAACACACTCGCGAAAAAAAAAAAGGCCCTATCGCAGGCTTTACGACACACATTAACTCACTTCGAATTACAAACAACATGCTCCCGCGAAAAACGAGCACCCGCTTGCGCAAAAATCGCGAACAAGTTCGCAATCAGCTCGTAAAAAAATGTAACACACTTTGATGTATTGAACCGCAGACGTGGAATGAACCATCCACGCCTGCTCTTTGGTTTGTCGAACTCGGCGATTACCGCACGAGTGGAGATTCACTTTCTGTTCTGCGTGCGCTCTAGAGAACTGCCGCGTTCCACAGCGCAACGTAGAAAACCTTGACTTTGTTCTCCATTCGGTCATACAAGGCCTGTCATAAACTCGTTGAATGAGATTCTGGCTTTGTAGTGTAGCTGTGCCGAGCAAAATGCACAAAGGACTTAGACCAAAGGGAACGCGACACGTCTGTGCCTTTGGCTCAGCGATACTGCATACACTAGGCTATACTAACTAGCCAGCCCAAGTTTGAGCTTTATAGAACATTCGGGCTCTTACGCTGACTCGAAATGTGAGCCATTTCTGCGCCGGAATGAGCATTCCGACTGCGTACCTCTTATCGCCTTAAGAATGACTGGCAATATACTTGTACGTGCAGTGGGCGCGTAAAAAAACAACGAACCCGACCAAAACCTAAATGTCACGTGGGCCTGCAGTCCCGACGATCAACGCCGGTTTGCAGCAGGAGACACCAAGACGCGCGCAACGGCAGAGCCAGCATTACGTGACCGGTAACGCCCACCCCGGTAAACGTGTCGTAAGCACTGCTGTCCGACGTCTTATCACAAGTCCTTCCGCGCGTCGTTTCAGTCACGTGACCAGGTGCAATAGTCCAGTCGCAACGTGCGAGACCACTCGAGTGCACCATCCAGTGGTGCGAAGTCGAAGGGGGGCGCTCACGACTGGAGTCTTTGAACCATAACGTCCCGACGCGCCGTAGCGGGCAGATCGGATGGCCGACAGGCCGCTGGGGGGAGGAGGACGAAAGCTCGCCTAGTAGCTTGGTCAGGTGAGCACGTACGCGACCGGGTCCGGCTTGGGCTTGAAGTCCCTCCAGCGGTCGCTGCGGCAGGTGCCAGGCCCCGCCCACCAAGCACTGATGTCCGGGTACACCTGCGCAAACGCGAGCACCGGATCGATGTGTGTGGCCGAGCGGCCGTTATATGCAACGAGTCGAACTGCGCATGTGCTCGTAGCGTACGAGGCACGTCTCTAGGCATGATAGCATTTGAATGCACGCTATCGCCGAGTGTTGGTGGATACATGAAACAAGCACAGAAAGGTTAGGGAACGTGCGTTTTCGTCGAGAAAATAGGGAAACATCAGTGACTTCCAAGACTGCCACACGTCACTCACTGCGATGTTTCACACGATACTCCCTAAAGAATGAAACGCAGATAGTTGTGCGGGCATGTGTATAACCATGCAGACGTGCTACTCAGAACTGGAAAATGTAGGCGTATTAGATGTCAGTGGGAAGTAAAAGATGCGTGAGTAACGGTCGCGATAACATGTATGATCTTAGACACGAAGTTAACGAATGTATAATACTTATGATGATTCACAAGACAAGACGACTGACTCAGTCCACTGAGTGAACCAACGTGGAACAACGGTGTCACCATTGCACCATCTGGTTGATGTCGCTCAACTGCTACCATCCGCGTAGGCGCATTTAGCCAGATTTTCCTCTTAAATGGGTCTGACGCCCTATTCTCTTTTTAAATGTTGGTGCGTGTATTTGTACGTGTGCGCGTTTATACGCATGTGCAAAATGAAATTTTCGGGACGGGGTGGGTGGGGAAGGTTTGAGTAACTATACCCCTGGCTATGCCACTAATCCTCGTGGGGGTGGTTACTAGTAAGATAAACGGTGGACAGATGCGATTACATCGTCCGTGGTGAGAAGTTATATACCGCTAACAAATGGGTTGTGGTAATCGCTCGGATGACACCGTTCGCCTATGCTCACCTTTGGCAGGGGCGGCGCGTGCAGCATGGCGCACAGGCGGCACCAGAAGTAAGTGTTGATGAACTCGCCGGAGCCTTTCCAGCGCAGGTACTCGTTGTACAGAGTCTCGTTGCGATCCAGCAAGTGCAGGTATTCAGCCAGAGCCTTCACCGACGGAAAGTCCTCCACGTGGATAAACGAGCGGGTGGGTGATGCGCGCACGTAGTCCAAAGGCCGAGCGCCCATCACGATAGGCACCACGTCGCGCCTGCGACAGGTACGATAGAAGCGACAGGTTAGTGACCCGCCAGGGTCATACCAGGAAGAATAGGGGCCTTCCCTGAACACGACAAAGTTTGCCGGTGATGCTGTCACTTGAAATATCTACAGGCGCTTTAGCTAACGCTAAGTAGAGTGCAGGCGAAATTCTTTTCTCGCGATACTGTACACCTAAACGTTTTCGGTGGATTGGATTGTTACTTTCTATTGCTCCGTTTCAGCCGTCTAGACATCACAATTATATTTTCGAGAATAGATCACAGAGGTTCATGTTTGATTGACCTTTGACTAAGGTTACCAAAATTTTATTTAGGTGAATATTTCATTCACTTTAATTCACCTTAACGTTTTATTCAATTTGAGTTCACACGAGGTCAAACTGGATACCGTTACTACTTTATTCTACACGTTATTCACCTTTTATAAACCTTTAATTTCTTTTCATTCTTAGTTCACATTTGATTCACCTTGTACACTAGTTATCCGTTGTAATCATTTGCCCCATCCTTACTATATGAAGTGATTAAGGGCTGAGCATTCTACAAAACACAAATATCTGGATGAGAGAACAAATAAAAGGCGGGAAAACGGTGCGTACCCGAGCCCGTTGACGAAGAACTTCTCGGTGATGTAGTCCTTGCAGTTGGAGTTCTCGAATGCCAGGTAGAACTTGTAGTCGCGGTCCAGCAGCTCGAAACAGTGACCGGCCTGCGCACGGGGGCACTTGAGGGAGCCGCAGGTGCCAGTAGATGTCCACGTCGATGTAGGCGGCCAGCTTGCGCGCGAACTGCAGCCGCTGGTTGCGCGCCGCGCAGTTGGACACGAACCAGGCGACCTTCTTGGTTTTGTTGCGCGGCGCGGACGACGCCGGACGCTGAGCACTCGCGCCTGCCAGTCCTCGTGGCTGACGAACTTCTCGTACGGCGCTACTATATCCGAGTCATGCCTGCGAAAGAGGTAAACAGTGCGGCAACATCCACTCGATGACAGGACACGAAAGGTAAGTCAATATTTCGCAACTTGATCTATAGCTCGCGTGTTACCGTGCGGCTAACCTGTTTGCTCCGCTTGCGTGACAATGCTATCCGAAAGAAATAGCACAGAGAGACAGAGAAGAGATGGGAGGTTAACGCAGTTCGCGTCCAGTGTGCTGTCTGACATATACTCGGAAAAGAGATCAAGTAAAAGAGAGATATATAACAGCTAAGAGACAGATAAGAGAAGGTAAAAAGAGAGAGGAATGGGAGGGATGGATGAGAAAAATCACTCGTCGGGCGCAGAACCAAACGTGCGCAGACAGTCTACAAGCACAGTTGAGCGAGTTCAGTGTCTGAATAGTGCACATTCTGTGACGGGTGAGAGCGCGCCAAAAAGTGGCGCTGCTTGCCATCGTAAACTTATATAATTATAAAAATAGAGCTTGAAGGTTGTCGTGCCATTCATATTAGCGTACGCACCACATTTCAGCACATACACAGTAGCATGACGTCTCAGTCAGCATAGGAAGGCGTAGCTCTGCCCAGGACTATCTACCAAGTCGATTGAGTGGGGTGTGATGGTGCATATATTATCCAGCTTAGTATTTGCAGCGGATAACAGAAGACCATCAAGATTTGAAGTGTAAGTGGCGCATGCCCCGTCGATATCGCGACAGCATAACTATACATTTGACACCGTAACTACTGGTATAATTGTCATCCGGAAGAAGCTACAGCACATTCTTCACAAGTGTCTGTGGTATGCTGTCCAGAGAGAGCCCCTGGAATCCACTCTAGCACACTTTGGCAATAGACCACTGTCTGTTGAAACCATCTTTACATCTCGTCGACACAAGACACTGCCCTTGAAGGTGACGAAGGCGCTACTTCGGTTTGTAAGACTCAGACTTGGACAAGCGGGGTGGCGTCACGTGCCATGCAATAGTAACAGAGTGTAACCGAGTGTGTGTGCTGCGTCATGTGCCATCTATCACTATCTTTCCTCTCTGCCTGTGCAACTCTCAAACTCCCTCCTCCTGTTCCCATGTGTAGGGTCGAAAACTGGTCGGTTGTCCTAAACTGGATAACCTCCCTGTCTTTCCTTCTCTAATATTTATTCTTCGTTAACTATCAACAAAAAAAAACACCTCAACAGCATTTTACTCGATGAAAGTGGACGACCAACGAATTAGACGGGCACAAGATTTCCTTTGGGAGTTGTCCAATAGACAGGTAAGCGTAAGAGGTTTATTGCAAACTGCACGCTTCTCTAGAATGTTTTCGGGCAACATCACCATCGCGTTATCTGACTAGCATCAGTCAGTGAATCGAGCGTCCTCTTAGAGAACGCGTGAAAAAAAAGCTTGTCTGGCATGAAATTTGTTCAAAGTCGTAACCTCTGTTCCATGCAATTACCATTTTGTATTCATATGTCCTTCCAAAATGTTTTTAACATAGGGCCCTATAACAACGGGAAGAAGCCACGACAGGTGTGCTGTCGCAGTGGTCAATCGTAAGAGATAAACCCAAGTACTCCGTCTTTGAATGCAGTGATTCGATACTAACTAGCGCATACTAGTTCCGCTGCGAAAATCCAGCCACACTACCAGCGAACAGCGTGCAGACTGCATCCAGTGAAATAACGGAAAGCGTGCTTTTCCTCTGTATGTCACACGTAGTGAAAAGCCCACTTTACCAAGCATTTTTTTTTTTTTAACGTGGGCAATCTTTGCAGTACGTTCTGAGTATGAAATGATGCTGATAACAGTGCAAAGAACACGTCAAAATTCACAGAATATCTACGGAGTGAATGATGGTGATTGTAGCGAAGCGTCTGTCTGCCTGTCTGCCTGCCTGCCTGCCTGCCTGCCTGCCTGCCTGCCTGCCTGCCTGCCTGCCTGCCTGCCTGCCTGCCTGTTATAATACTTATATAATACTTGTTATAATACAATATTTCAGCCTGCAGGACATACACGCCGCTAGCAAAAAAAAGAAGCACGACAGCACCCCCCCCCCCTCAAAGTCACGCGTGTAATTTTTCATGCATTGTGTGTGTGTGTTTTTGTGTTCATTATGTTTTAACATGAAATTGCTTTATTCATCCATTCACATCCATTCACAAACATGAAATTGTTTTATTCATCCATTCACATCCCGTAATACCAAACTTGCTATAAGTGAAGCTGGCGAAACGGCCGCCAGCGCATCATGAGCGTGGCATGTAGCCATGTTACATGACACCATGTCACGATTATCATGTTTGTACAAGTCACATACCTTCGTCATGCATTCACGTACCGTAATACCAAATTTGGTACATATAACGCTAGCGATACAGCCAAGAGCGCATCATGAGCGTGGCGTGTTGTCATGTTGTTACATGACACAGATGCCATGATTTTCATGTTAGGGTTTGTCACTTGTGTTCACCATGCAATCATGTCATACCACAAGAGTTTTGCAACATGCCATGTGAACGAAACCACCGCAAGAGCGGCAGGACCATGAATTGTAAATCATGACATTCATGACACATGTCATGATTATGATGTTATGACTAGTCATATATCTTCTTCATACAGTCATGTTATGCCATACCAAGTTTGGTATCAATACCATTATCATAACGCCCAGGAGAGCTAAAAGTGGTAGGCGGATAGATAGATAGATAGATAGATAGATAGATAGATAGATAGATAGATAGATAGATAGATAGATAGATAGATAGATAGATAGATAGATAGATAGATACATAGATAGATACATAGATAGATAGATAGATAGACACATAGATAGATAGACACATAGATAGATAGACACATAGATAGATAGACACATAGATAGATAGACACATAGATAGATAGATAGATAGATAGATGGATAGATAGATAGATAGATAGATAGATAGATAGATAGATAGATAGATAGATAGATAGATAGATAGATAGATAGATAGATAGATAGATAGATAGATAGATAGATAGATAGATAGATAGATAGATAGATAGATAGATAGATAGATAGATACGCTCAAAGTCGCTGAAGTTCACTGAGAAATGCTTCGCATTTAAGAACATTTAGGAAAGAGTTTTCCCTTGGGCGTTGAAGCTCTGACTCCTTGGGTAACGACGAATAGCGCCCTATATTTTACCGACTGAGCTACTGAGGCAGTTCCGAGGCTGCGTAGAACGCACCTTATATCTTTCACACGTTCTCTCTCCCTCTCTCCGTGCTCTCTGTTTGCGAAGCGGGGTGGTGCCGCCACCTGGGAGTGCCCCAAGAGAAGTGTCGCGGCATAACGCAGCTAAAGCGTGGCGTTCGAGGTTGCGTGCCGGCACGCAGTCTTGGATGCCATGGTAAAGCTTCTCGTTATCAGTCAGAAACGCTGACCACGTGAGCATCGGAGAGTCACTGATGCAGCTGTTCTTTTTCTTTGGCTTCGTGTTAGCGCGTGATAGCCCATTGTTGAAGTCGTGCAGCTTCCGCATGCACCAACAATGTTTCACCGCCGACTACTTTCGGGTGTGATAGCACAGGCCTATTTATTAAAACTGCTGCAGTAAGCACTGCAACAAAACAACAATGTCGACGAGCTAATGGCGTGCCTTGGTGGAGCGAAAGTTAGGCCAGCAGGATGAGGAACGCCAACGTGCGTTCGCGGTTCAAGCTACGAACCTTAGCGTCTCGCGTTTCTGAAGCGCAGTATGCGTAAACACGGGCGTAGGCTTCAGGATCGCACACAGTGCTCACGCAAACTCGGAAGAAGTTCAAAAAAATTGCTACAACTATATCTATACTTAAGCATTCTGACAACGCCGTTACTTAAGGTACGCGCAGGTAAAACTGTCTTGGGTTTGTTTCACGATTATTAAAGAGAACAAACGTCAAAGTCCCTTTTTATCGACTATCACTGCTTACGACGACCTCTGTAGAGAAATAGAGAGAAAGATAAAAAAACAGGGATGTTAACAAGAGGAGGACTCCAGCTGGCTACCTTGTACTTGGGAAGGAGAAAGGAGAGTGTAAAAGGACGAGTGAGAAGAAAACGTTTGTAACAGTAGTGCATAGTGAATAAAATGTGGGAACTTGAGCATTGTCCTACAAGAATGCTCACCTGTACGTTGCCGTCCAGTTGAAGATGTTCTTGATGTTGATGAACGACTGCGTGTGGTACGGGCACTCGAGCAGGTACAGGATCCACACCTGGTTCCAGGGGCGCCGGTACTTGGGGGCCACGAAGCGGTCCTTGAAGAGAACCGCGTCCGCGTCGGGCGCCTCGTCCTGTGACGTCACGATCTCGCACGTGTCCACGGGACACTTGTCGCGGAGGAACACCGCCCGTCCTGCACGTTAACGTGGTGGACCGCAGCGATATATAGCTTAACCTTGCAGAGTGAAGAAAATTGACTTACGATTGCTCTAGAAAACAGTCGAGATGGCAGTGTGGTATAAGGAGTCTTAAAAGTTCATCTTCAATGGCGCTGCCCGTTGCCTTAAGTTAACTTTAAGTGTTTATGAGATTTTTAATACATATAAGCCAAGAATATCGACGCAACTTTTACTTTACACTGTGTAATGCCGCAATATAGAATAGGACATGCCAGGCGTAATTCCCAAAGTATTTTGTCAAGGGCATCACTTGTCCACGGAAAACAGACAATAGGCTTATTTCCCAGTTTTTATATGCGTAATTGCGCTAAATAGTGTGATTAACACTGTTGCGTCAAAGAACTCAGGTGCGTTGTGAACGTGGCTCAACCCGACTCAACCGTTTCCTAGAAGCAAGACCTAGTCAGTACGGGGGCTCTCACCCCTAGGCAGGTCACCCCAGCCGCCTAGTCCCCTCATGAGGAGGATCTTCTTGATGCGCGTGTTGTTTCGCTTGTAGTCCTCGGGCACGAACATCAGCTGCTGCTCGATGCGGTCACCGGAGTCCTCGTGCGGCCACAGGCTACCCGTATCGCCGGGTAGAGGTCGCCGCTGACCGCCGCGCATGTACCAGGGACGCTCGTTAGAGCCGGTCTGACCACGAGTCCCCTTCAGCGTTGAAAAGACGAAACAGCGGGAAATATAACGACTGGTTATTGGAGCTGTTTTGGCAGACCATTTGTAATAAAGAGCCTTAAGCTACCTTTCAACTGTTCACTTGACGCTTTTGAATTGAACTGGGAAATTAACAGTTCTTATAATTCATCACAAGGAGTCCTCGGTCACCATTGTCTAAAACCTGAATCGGTGAAGATATGTAGCAAACTCCCCCCCTCCCCCATCTCTTCTTTGAGGCGTTTACGATTGTGGTGGGTAAACGGGGATTCTGCAGAGGACAAAGGAATATGGGGATTCTGCAGAGGACAAAGGAATACGTAGGAAAGAGATCACAGAGAATAAAATATCCAGAAAAAATTTACACATACAAACATATGTAATGTCAGTGGCTGAGAATAATAGCGTAGAGCCAAATTCTCAAGAAGAATAATGGCATTCCACCTCAATTGGCCGTGGGCAACGCTGCCTATCGCCCGAGGTCTAATCTTCCGCACGGGCACCAAAGAAAAAAGGTGCTATACGATGGTTGCCACGTCGGCACGTACCGGTAAAAAGTAACCGATTTATTCACTTTTATCCTCTTTTACTGCATTATTCCCGTATTTAAATCAGACGTACTTAACTACTGCTACCCTTTCTCGTACCTTCATTGTTCTCATGTCGGAACTATGAAGTGCGTGGCAAAGTCTACAACTTTAGGAATGTATCCTTGTCTGTGCATCACATTGTCACATGGTTCATAGCAACGGTACAGAGAATGGACTCATGGAAATATTTAGGTGTCTGTGATTACGATGCGTCTTTAGACGCAAATATGACGCAGTTAACTCCATACGCGTGCGTGAAACTGAATGACTGGCTGAGTGACCAAAAGGCCGAATGTTAGGGCGTTAGTGATCGAGTGAGTGAATGTGCTTTGAATAAGAAGAGCGAGTGAAGAACACAGACCAGCCAGCTAAGTGATCGAGTGAGTGAATGTACTTTGAATAAGAAGAGCGAGTGAAGAACACAGACCAGCCAGCTAAGTGACCGAGTGAGTGAATGTGCTTTGAATAAGAAGAGCGAGTGAAGAACACAGACCAGCCACCTAATGTACGCACGCTTTTGGTGAGTCGTTCCCAAACTGTAAAAAATTCACGCGTGGTTTTCTCCACAGTTTCAGTGTCTCCAAAGCGGGGGAAAGCCCGGCAGTAACGAATTCGCCTCAGCCAAGCCGCTCTGTATAACTTGTCCTACATAAACGAGAAAAGTCCACGCTGGCAAGCTTTCCACTCTTGGCCCTTTGACTTAGACTCCACGGGTGTGCCTCATGAATGCAAAAATTTGACGCCGTTCTTAAGTACATACACCTGCCCTACAGGGGGGATGACACTCACACATACGACACCCATGGTTCACCTGCGCGTTATTATAAAGTAAAACGAGAGTAGGATATGTGCGGTATATATACACAGCTAAGCAAGCAGCGTGCGCTGAAGTGTGGCGGATAGTCATTTCTTTTTCCTCTTTCGTTCAAGACGTGCAGGAAAGCGATGTTTGACGACGTTGTAGCCGATGCAGTTGATGCTGTACCGAGGACAGGGGGAGCTGTGCTTACGTAGATGTGAAGTTTGCGGCTGCAAATAAAGTACTGACAAACTATTGCACCGTTTTCCTTAATGTAGCATCAACTGTGTCGTCCACCTTCCTAGACTAGCTTCAACTGGCATGCCAGAATGAATTCGAGAGGATCCTTAAGCTTCGCCTTCAAGAGTTGAACGGGATAAAGATATCCTCTACCTTTCAAACACTTAGGACACGAAATCTTTCCAAACCTAACATGCATTCGCTACGTATAGCCTTATGGGAATACGCGCAGTAACGTGTGTGCCGTTTGTAGTGAATGACCAGCGTTGAATCATGAAGTGTTCATGATGATCACATCTTCTGACGCATGTTGATAATGTATACGCTTGTACAACGCAATAGGCGTATTACTGCATTATTTCATGTTGTATTATGAAGCATGTATACACAGGACGCGTGTCTTTCTAAAATATGAAAGTTACTACCTTCACTGGACTTCCAATCGTAAGAATTTATTTTAACTGCATTCACACGCAGACGCGTGGTTCTGTGTTAGAACACCCACTTGCCAGCGCAAACGACCGGAGTTCAATCCCCACACTTACCCACAATTTCCGATTATTTGTCTTATTTGCAACTTTCTTGATTTATCGGTCACGCACAAGATAATTTTTCGCTCACAACCAACGCCACAGACACCTACGCCAAAATTCCTGCGAAAGGAGCTCGTAAGCGCTATCGAGTTAAAATAAAATTCCCGCTTGATCAGGAGTAGAACACATCACTCAGTTCAGCAGAATTTTTCGCTGCACAAATCAGTGAGCAGAAATGCCGGTAGCATACGTATTTAATCACAATATTGCACTAATTTCAATGCTTCGAGTTGTGAGTATGATTCTAATGTATTTGTTTAACTACTACATTTTGACTAAGTGTTTCATATTCGAAACACCTGAACATCCACCTTCCTAGGGCATTTACTCTTTAGCATGCGCACACTTCGGCTTCATTTGCATCTTGACGTATCGTTGGTATATTTTAAGCCAAAATCTTATACGTCACATCGAACAAACAAACACACGAAGTGGCCGCAGGCGTCAACACAAAATAATGCCAAAAATCACGTGACGACCTTATCATGACATGACGATAGTTATAGCGCGAGAACAAAACGACGACACAGGGACAAGAAGGAGACGAAAGACACGAGCGTCTCCTTCTTGTCTCTGTGTCGTCGTTTTGTTCTCGCGCTATAATTATCACCATGCCATACTAACTAGCCCAAACTTCCACACTTCTAAGTTACATTTCTAGTTACTCGGGCTCTTTTTCGTGTGCTCATCATGACGTTACAGGTTGCCTGAATTTGTGGCGTGACATAGTCGGTTGGTCAATCGCGGGCATACCCGGGCGGCACTGCAAGGCCACGCTAAATGCTGAACTGTAGCGACCCCGATCTTCGAGGCAATGAAAAACGACGTTAAGTACAAAAGCTGAAGGAAGTGGGGGGAGGGGCTCGTATGGCCTTACGGCTGGCCTCCCCACTTACACCTTCTTTCGCATCACTAGCAACTGATCTTCAATCGATTTAATGGCACATAAACTTAGAATTTCCGTTTCCTTCAAAGGTGGTTGAATACCATAAACGCTATAGCGTGCACTTACCAGCTTGCCCTTTGCGGCGTTGATCCTGGCCGCCAGCGGAGCATCGGGACGCGGTGGTTGTCCCGGGAGCGGCTGCTGGTCAACGGCGCGCTGCCCTCCGATGGCGTTGTTGACATCACGCAACGCAGCGTCGGGCAGTCCGGGTGCCTGCTGCTGCTCCCGGAGTCCGATCAGCAGGAAGGTGCAGAAGCTGAGTCCGGCGGCCCAGGCGAGTAGCCGCCGGAGCCGGAGCTTCTTGGCCGGGAACATGCTACGCCATGGCAGGCCCCAGCAATGCTGCTGCGCCGCTGTCGACTGGTGGCAATGCTGTTGCGCAGAGGAAGCGTCGTTTTAGGTCGATGGCAAAAAAATACGGAAACAGTTTGACTATAACCATAAAACAGAGTGCAAGCTCGTGCTTATCTGGCAATAGGGAACCTGACGTCATTTGCATTTCTTGATTTGTATCATTGGCACCGCAGAGGTGATTCCGCGAACATCCGTTCGTGGTCTGTTCCGCAGCGATAAAGAGCAACAAAAAAAAAGCCCAGCGCCATAGCCGGAACAGCAGGTAGGTAAGTAGGGGAAAATAAATACTGTCACTAGTAGTAACCACACTCTGTGCGTGCTAAAGTACTCGTTGGAAAGCATAGCATACGTCATAGCATCAAGGACGCACGAACCTCAGCGAAATGAGACTATCAATTCAGTACTGTCAACGCTTGATGAGCTAACATTTCTTTTTAACAGACTCCGTCATAGTACTTCATTCGCAAGCTGAAAATATAAAGTTGACATTAAGTACTCCCGGTTATCGGGAGAGAAAACGATATAAAAATAAGACACGATGTCGGGTGAAGGGGCATAGTTGCCGCCGAATGAGTTCTTAGGTATGCCTTTAAAGGCCCCACGTTAAGAGGCGATGACGTTCTTTTTGGTTTAAATGCGTTCGACTACGGATGTCCTGTTTTATCCCATTGCCGATACAGTATAGCCTGACATACGAAACTGACGTCGTCTTACACGTGTACAGCGCCACGTGCACATCTTCAGCGCGAGCCCGGACGGTGCATGCACGCGTAGACGCGCGCAGCTCCTGGAAAACGCAGACGTCCAGGCAGTGACGTGCGGCACCCGCTCGATCCGTGGAGCGAGTGCGGCGCCGACACTCGATGAACAGTACACACGGGGCGTTCCCGCGGAAGGATCGCGTGCAGCGACACGCACACACAAAAGGTGGAAGCGGACGACGAGAGGCGAAGGGCACGGCTGGCACAAGCGAGCTGGCGCGCGCGAGCCCCGTATACTCATTGAGCTTGTCGCAGCGGGCGCGACTCGAAAAGCGCGCGAAATGACTGACATTACGGTGTAGCGCGATGAATGGGAATCGTCGTGGTAGCACTCGAGGAACAACTTGGAATGAACTGGAACAACAATGACTGAAGAAGCGGCATGAAGGAAAGAAATCAGTCGTCCCCGTGCAAGTTGCGCGATGCTTATACCATAGCAACCGCGTCTTGAGAAAGATGAAGGCGTTGTCAATGCGGTCCGGGAAGATCGAACCCTTCGTTTACACACGCCTTTTCGAGGTGGAGGTGATGGTTCTGCCTTTTCAGCTGAACAGAAAGATGACAGATTTCAAACGCGAAACCTAAACGAAACACTCGTCTCGTTTAGCCCAGCCATGTGATGCAGTTTACAATTTGTAGTGCGCTATACTTAGCCTGCATGCAGAATTGCAGGCGATGCATTGCGTAATAAGTGCGGTCGCCAGGAGATCATTTAAACGTGCTTGATGTGGAACCGACATCCATATAACGCACAAAAACGATTGCTTGAAGTTGTATCACCTCGCTTTGATCAAAGACTAATATCGGCGCAAACAATATTCCAATGTTTTCACCTTCCCTCTTAAGTCATCGCAGTTAAGAGCAACGAAAACACCGTTGCCTGCAAATTATGCAACGCTAGATCCACCGGTTACCGACAACATCCTAAAACACAGCAGAAAAAATATATACGAATTTTCTTTATGTGGCACTATTCAGGCATTGTCTTTGGGCGTTAAAGGTAGGTGATCTGAACAAGTGGCTGTAACTGACGTTTACCACTGTGTGACACTGTTACAAGGGCCTACGCCAATAGTGTCGAAGTGCGAAGGTGCGTCAACGATCCCTCTTTCTTGTTATCTCATCATTTCAACCTTTCATTTACCTGTATTACAGCGTAAGGTAGCATGGCAGTTTTTTTTTCTTTCACGCTCCTTCCCTTCTCTATTTTTTTTTAGTCGGTAAATAGACTGAGTATCTCTAGACTTAAACGTGAGTTGCATGCCGGGTTTTATCCGTGAGCCAGGCCAGTCGTCTTCACGCGGGCCGAGTTAGGGTGCGCGCGCAGATCGGCGATAGCAAACGGTGCCCAGTCGCCGTTGTGTTTACCTTGAGAGACGTCCGATGGCCTGTAATCCATGCGCGGCTCTTGCTGGGGCCGGGACTCCCGGGCGCCCGGAACCAGTGCCACTGCGCGCTCCTCTGCGAAGAAAGAGGAGGCACGCTTGAATAAGAGCCGCCAACATAAAGTGTGGGGCACAAATGTTTTAGACAAACGGTTACTGCCACCATGTTCACTTTAAAAGACATTACTATCCGCCCTTTTGTGAAAAGACTGTTTGCAGAAGTTGAACCATGGGGAGCGTCGTAGTTTCCCTCTTATTTATTAGAGGAAAAAAACTAATAAGGCAACAAAGTGTAGAGCACACAGTGAAAATTAATCTAGCTCGCTATCAACGGCTACTCACTTCCCCAACCAGCTTCCTGTGTTCATGATAAGCATCGCCCCGAAGCGTAATCTTGATGATCCATGAATGAAACGTCAGGCAACGACGGATATGAAAGTCTTGTCTCGCTTGTTCTAGTCACAGCACGTATTGGTTCGAGGAAATTGGGTCAAAGTAGTTTGGCGACGGTGACAGCTTGTCGCAAAAGGGTTTTCTCGGTAATTTCTCCTCCGACGCTTTTTCGGCTCGACATGGAGCTTCGACCGGATAAGTTCGGCAGTAAAGGCACGCTTACAGTCAGAGATCCTCGCTCTCTCCTTCTTTTTTTTTATTTGTTGTCGTGACAGACGTAGGACTGGCGAATAGAAGAGGAGACAAGAAAACCATTCATGTTCCAGTTTACTTTCATCAATGAATAATTAAGGATAATGCATCCAGAGGGCGTTGTCTTCCTTGTTAAGAGACTTTACATTACTCAGGAGAATAGCGCGAAACGGGACAAAAGAGAAACAGCGCGTAAGCTTAAGCCATGGAGGAATAAACTGTGCGATACCTATTAACGGCTTAGTCGGAGCGAACAAGAGAACTACATTTGCACTATTAAGGCAATGAATTGTAGTTTAAAATATATTGCCCAATTATATATTTATTCTGTTATCAGCGATGTTTTTTGTTGTTTCTTGGAAAATCTAAAGTAATTCTGCTGAAGTAGCGTCATTGGAGCATTTCTATTTTGAAAAATCATGCATTGGAATATTCGGCTTTTAGTGTAGCATACCTTGCTTACGTGTGCTGCCGTTAAACAAGAATATCGTGAACACTCTCGATACGTTAAGGCTCTGAATTATCGCTTTACGATGAGATAGCCGGTTACCAGCCTGATAAGTTATCTTTCGATTCATGCTGACCACGTATAAGATTATATGCAGCACTGAGCATACCACAGTCAGTTGTCGACTTCATGTTACATTCCTACCACGTAATGCGCACAAACACGACCCTATATACGGGCAACACTGGCTTCCCCCTGTGACGCAGCCGGTGTGAGAACCGTGAACTTACAGCGAGCGACGGAGGCATTCCTCTACGAGTCACTTCGACAGCCACCTCCATGACGTCCGCGCACACGGGACGCTACACACGAAATGTTCCGTAGGCGTCAGGTAAGTTACACGACACGATTCTTGCGCACCTCTGCGCTGGCCTTGCCGAGAAAATTCAGCGACGCTTAAGTTTGAAGTTCACCAGTGAAAGGACGACTGCCTTACGGATAAGCAAAGAAAAAAAAAAACGCCGACAGACGGAAGGAGGGGTAAAACAAACGAAAGATAAAAAAAACAACCTTATAACACACCCCTTTTCGGGCGAATAACGAAGTCCGATATACGGTTTCGCACTCGATTCCATTGGTTCCCGCACGAAGACTTCAGTAATAATGTATGCACTGCGCCTTCGATGGAGGTCATGTTCCTCCCGCCTAACGCGCACGTGTGCGCCCTTAATAACACGACGGATCACACGTGTGTCGCGTGCAAGGCGTCCTCGGTCGTCGTCGTCGATGCAGATATGTCGTGCACCGTATACCTGTCCTCGGGCAGACAGTGCGCGGAACCATCATCGAGGCGTACACTCCGGTTCCCTGGGCCTTGGACTAACAGTCGACGCGGGTACAATGCTTAACATCCAAACCATATACCGTGTTTGTGAGCGCGGTCGCCAAACACGGTCCTTTCGTGGAACTGCGTATACGTTCCAAGGGAATGGATATTTGAACGACTCCGAGCTCTTCTTCCGTGCGCTATGACGCTCTGCAAAGGCCGCGCGTTGTGCCCTGCGTTAGCGGGAGTTCCGTGCAGCGACAAGAAGCAAAGGTGAGTAAAAATAAAACAGGGTAGGAATGGTGGTTGAAGTGGGGTTAGGAGGACAGCAATATCATCGCCCGTCAATATGTCTTTCGGTTAATCACTATGACCTTTCCCTTCTTTGACCTTTCGTGCCCGTGGTGCAAAATATACTTGCTTGCATGCGTTAACTTCCGGGCACCGTTGTCACGGAAATCGAACGGTTTGTATATTGCACCCGGTTTCTAGATAGCGTGAAAAATGTTTTTTTTTTTTTCGAAGGTGGCCTATGGCGTATTCCTTTAGCTGTCTCAACTGTGTGAAGTTCCTGTCTATAAGAAAAAAAAGGGGGGGGGGGAATTTACACGGAACATTCCACCTTGTTCAGCTCTGCTTGTAATAATAATAATAATAATAATATAGGTCACATTCCACAATTACAAGTGATCGGGCCGTAGCCACGTGACCGTAGCCCATGCCCCGTCTCTCTTCACGATCCTTCCGAACACACAATCTCTACTGCGGTAACTACCCTTGTACGTGTTGCGCTTTCATCGCTTGCTTCACTCACTACCACTTTCTCTCAGCAGTTCGCGCCGAGACGACTAACACAATGAAAGCTGCTTCGCTCCCTGGAGCCACGCTTAGGCCAGCATTTTGTAAGAATAATATGTGATATTTTACGTCTGAAAGTCATGGCATGGTTATGAGACACGCCGTTGTAGAAGGCTCCGGAAATTTCGACCACGAAGTGTTCTTTAACGCGCATTGCTATCGCACAGTGTACACGAGCCTCCAACTTATCGCCTCCATTGAAATGCGACCTCCGCAGGCCGAGATTGAACTCGACACCGTTCGGGTCAGCAGTACGGGCGTCGGCAGGGGGGTTCAAAAGAGGCACTTGCCCCTTTTGCCTCACAAGCGCTTGCCCTCACCCAAGCTACACCAGTGCTCTCCCCCCTCTCTCACTCGCAACGCAACCCTGATTTGCACACCCCAGGAAAACAACCTGCCGACGACCATGTTAAGCAGCCAAGCACCCTAGCCACTATTCCACCTAGGCGGACCGCCAGTGTTTTGTGGAGTTGCGCTAGATCGGATCGGATCGGCTGGCGGCTAACTTTACTTGGTATAACATTCCACTTCATTGCTGTCGCATTCTTTGATTCACCCTTGCGGTGAAGGTTAGCAGACTGCTAACCCTTTGAAATGTTTGTAAAAGGCACTGCCGCTTGTTTTGTAGGGTGGGGTGGAGCTCCATAGGGTCCTGGTCGTTCCCTCCTCAGTTTGTATGTAGTATGTTTGTAGCCATATATACTCTATGAATTGTTAACTAGATGGCGTTCAATGTATATGTCCTTGGAAATATTATCGCTAGATGGAGCTAGTGGCTTTCGTATAGTGGAAAAATAAAGAGGATATATGGCGCTGTTAAAATAAGGAATTTACATCATATCCACGGAGTGAGTGTTAAAAACTGAGGCGAAATATCAGTCCATCCATCCGATGCGTACTCTAGTGTGATAGGAGTGGACAGACATACGAACGGACGAACGGAAGGAAGGAAGGAAGGAAGGAAGGAAGGAAGGAAGGAAGGAAGGAAGGAAGGAAGGAAGGAAGGAAGGAAGGAAGGAAGGAAGGAAGGAAGGAAGGACGGACGAACGGACGGACGGACAGACAGACAGACGGATGGACGCTTCACCCCACCAATCATGGATATGCTGTGAACTTCTTTTTATTCATTGTGCTAATTTCTAAAGCATTCCAATCTAATGGTCGTACGTCTTTTATATAAATACACGGATCTGCTTCCTTCTAACTTTTTTTTTCTATTTTCACTGGCTCTGAAGAAATCTGTATCAAACTTGTAACAGAGACACATGATATAAGATAGTAGATTTTTCAGGGAAGAATTTGTCAATAATGGACAATTATCTCGTCTCAGGGAATGGCGACTTAGCAAACCGGAACGCGTGTCCGCTCGGTTTTGCTGCCGGGTTCTTTTATCGTCCTTGGTGTTTGTTATACTGCCGTCGTCTCCACTCCGTCATCGTCACCTTAACGTTGTCGAACATACTCTCATTGCACCCAGACGCCTTTTCAGGTTCTTATTTTTCGAGCTACTTAGGTCAGCTTAATTATTTCCCTATACCTTCTACCGCATCCTTGTTTTCATACGTGGACATCCTATCAACAGTTTTTGCTGCCGGGATGTATCTATTAAGTTCTACATTGCCTTTAAGCCGGAGAACTACTTAGAAAGGAAATGTGTACGTAGCACTTAATACGAGTGTGCCGATAATTGCTACACATTTTGCCACCGAAAACTGTGTCATCAGAACGATATCACGTAAAACAAGATAGGACAGCGTCCAAACCGCCACATAGAAAGTTCATTGGACTTGGAACCTGTTTTGTAGCGTTGATGCGTTCAGTGACTGACGTGACTGACGCGACGCGGATGATGGGACCCGGAGGACATTTTCGACAAAAGCGATGCACTGTGCGACACTATATGAAAAAAAAAAGAAGAGACAAGATAAAGAATAGAGTGCCAGACAAACTGGCCACGCGCACGGTTTTGCTCCATGATTTATTTTTTGTTCGTCCTTTCACGACCACTCTGCTCAGTCACGCGTCGCAAAGCGGGTGCAAAATGGTTTTCGGAAGCGCTTTGTGAACAACACCGAATTGTTGGCTACAGTGCCTTGGGCACACTATTATTTTTAAGGTCCCTCTGGCGAGTTGGAAGCGTGGGGAAAAGGAGAGATCTTTCCGGTCCGCTTTATGAAAACGCAAACAAAAGGTGAAATCTTTCTTGAACGACGTGACATCCGGCTTCTGCGGTAGTTTGCCACGCGTTTCGTTACACCGTGACGCCCAGCACTTGGGGCTAACCCCCTGGCAGTGGCGC